GGGGAGGGGAAACCTTTGTTTTGGGGCCCGGGGGGCGGGGTGGGGTGCTCTAGGGAGCGGGAATGAGTCTAGTGGGCGGCTTCCCCCACCACCCGGTGGTGCACCATGAGGGCTACCCTTTCGCTGCCGCCGCCGCTGCCGCCGCCGCCGCCGCCACCCGCTGCGGCCACGAAGAGAACCCCTACTTCCACGGCTGGCTCATCAGCAGCCACCCTGAGATGTCCCCCCCCGACTACAGTATGGCTCTGTCCTACAGTCCCGAGTACGCCAACGGGGCGCCGGGCATGGACCACTCCCATTACGGGGGGGTGCCGCCCGGGAACGGCCCGCCCGGGCTCGGGGGACCCCGGCCGGTGAAACGCAGGGGCACGGCGAACCGCAAGGAGCGGCGCAGGACTCAGAGCATCAACAGCGCCTTCGCGGAGCTGAGGGAATGCATCCCCAATGTGCCCGCCGACACCAAGCTCTCCAAGATCAAAACCCTCCGTCTGGCCACCAGCTACATCGCCTACCTCATGGACCTGCTGGCGAAGGACGACCAGAACGGGGAGGCGGAGGCTTTCAAGGCAGAGATCAAGAAGACAGACGTGAAGGAAGAGAAGAGGAAGAAAGAGCTGGTCAGTGCTTCGGAACGGGACGGGGCGGGACGGGGCGGGGGAGCCGCGGAGAGGAGGCTGCTCGGTCGCCCGCAGATGCCCCATCCGAGCGCACCCGGCGCCTCGCAGGGCAGAATCGGCCGGGGACGTCCGTGGGGGACACCTCGGTCCCACCGGTCCCTGGCCGTACGCGCGGGCCAAAAGAGGGACAGTACAGAGCCGCGGGCGGCCGTCGGCGTCCGGGTCCGACCCGGCGGCTGAGAGCAGCGGCGGGGAAAAGGCTGCCACATTAGGGTCCCCCGGGGAGGTTATTTCCCGGGCTGCTGCTTGTTCCGTGTCACAAACCGAAATGTCCCAGGAGGCAAGCCTCCGCTCTCTTCAATGAAAATCTGGAGGCATGATTACCTGCTTAGCCTAGCCCAGCTTTAAACTCTCGGCAATACGAGGTTAAGCAGCCAGAGGTTTTCCTGCCTCTGCGTTCGGCACTTCAACTTTTTTGATTTTTAACGAGAGAGTCGGCTGAGGCGAAGCAGCGAAAGCCAAATTTCGCATAGGCCCCGTGTTATACTCGCGTGCGATTGATTCCCGCGGATTTGAGGTGACCACAGGTCCGATGTTTTGCCCCGGTACGTGCCGGCACCCAGCTTCACTCCGCAATCGGGGGGGAGGGGGCTTTTCGTAATCCTCGTGGATGGCTGGCGCTTCTCGGCCTTCAGCCCCGTGCTCCGGCCTCGGAAGAGCAGCGGGGTGACACGGAGAGGGAATCAGCCTCTGCCGGGGCCCACGAACGGCCGCGCACGACGCGAGGCCGCTCCCACGRGCAGTGGCTTCGCCCGCGGCGAGATCCCATGGAAGTCCCCGTTAAGTCTCTTGAAGCCCCCATGCCTTGATGAGCTCAGGTCTCCTCGTAGTTTTCCATCTCGAAGCAGAGCAGATGCGACCTAGAAAGGGGAGGAATATATCTAACCTTTCTTTCTCTCATATCCCCCTTCTGTTTCTCTCTCTCCCCTCGCATCCTGTCTCCCCAGAACGAAATCCTGAAAAGCACAGTTAGCAGCAACGATAAGAAAACCAAAGGGAGGACTGGCTGGCCGCAGCATGTGTGGGCTTTGGAGCTCAAGCAGTGAGCACGGCAGGACTGGAGGAGCCGTCCTCGTAGTCTCGGTAGTGAGCTCTCCTCTGAGGACTCTTTGCATTTGGAATCATCCAGTTTATTTATGTGCAATTTCTCCCCCAACCCCCCCAAAATGTGGATATTTGAAGGAGAGGGAAAAAGCATTCCATATATGAAGAGGAAACTCCAGCTTGGTAAGGGGTAATGTCTCTAAATGTTTTGTGAATGTTATTTGCTCTGTATAAAACACATGGAGAAAACAGAACCATAGAAAAGGAAAAAAAAAACCCTCCCTGGCATTAGTGTGTATGTGAAGTGTATCTTTAATACTTGGCCTTTTGGATATAAATATTCATGGGATTATAAAGCTATATTTCAACAGAAGCAGTTGCACCAATGTTTCGATTGACTCGGTATTTAGTGTTGTAATTTTGTTGTGGTCGTTCGGTATTTGAAGATGTTTTCAACAGTTATTGGTTATGTGCACTTCTGTCCATAAGGGAAAAAGTGGAATCTAATTAATATTGAAGGTGTAAACGTTGTAAGTACTCAATAAACCACTGTGTGTGTTTTTTACAAAACATAAGAAAAAAAAAGGAAAAAAAAAAAAAAGAAAATCCAAATCTTTTTATGTTTTATACCTCAAAATGTTTTGAATAACAGCGTTGTTTATGGCTTTTTCTTCATAATATTTAAAATATTCGGAAGTAAACTAAATTATAAAGATGGCTCCTAATTTTATTTTTAAACAAGTGAATGAATGAAAGGAGGGGTAGAGGGAGGGATCTCTCAGCCCCGTGAATGTTGAACAGAAACCGTCAGTTCAGCTGAATAGGAATTCCTTGTGGTGGTGTTCTCCATGCAGGAGACCTACTGCGAACGGGAAATGGACAAGGGTGCAAATCCCGGGCGGGTCAGCAGTAGCAGAGATGCGCGGTTTTCTTGCCGTCGGCGGCGGTGGCGGTGCCAGGCGCGAACCCGGAGCGGGGGCGGCTTCCCCGAGAGGGGGCCGCAGGCAGGCGAGGGAGGCTGGTGAGCTTTGCTTGGAGTGATTATGTAGCAGGTAATTTTACGTCAAGGAAGAAAGAGCGAACAAGGCAAGGGGGGTGGGGGGGGGTGGGGGAGGGTGTGCTGTGGGGAATATGTAAGATTTACAATGAGCTACGGTGAACTTAATATTAACTTTGTGGTTCCTAAAACTCTCCTGGGTTGCACGTTTCCAGTACGCCATAGCGAGTATAATTATTTTTAACCTTTTTTATCCATCTGCGAACTGCAGCAGCCCATGCTCTGGCTCTCTTTAGTATGTTCGCTGCTTCCCCAAGAGGATTTCTCTTCCCTCATATATTTTACCCTTTGTCTATTGACTCCCTTACAAGGGTCCCAATGCCAGTCTCCTGACTTTTCTGCTCCCCAGTACCAGGGTGAGCTGCAGACTTCAATGCTGGGAAATGCATGGCATTGTTCTGTATCATAGGCACGCAAGTAAAAAACTAAAATTTTCACATGAGGAAGCTGGTCCCTATTTTTGTCCATTCCTGGTTAAGGGCAAGGTTTTCCACCTTTTCCAAAATAAAATTCGGACTCGTATTTTAAACTTTTACTTAAATCATTCCAACTTAAACCAAGCTGGCTGTCTCCCCAGGTCCAGGGCTGCACGCCTGCCGGCCTTCCCGTGCCACCGTGCCTGAGGAAGTGGTTCCCAACGAGACCCGGCAGTAAGCGTAGGTAGATGTGCAATTGCCCATAAAAAGATAAGGGAGACCCTGTGCCGTTTCGCCGCCCCTGCTGACAGTGTGGAGGTTGCGGGGTTATAACAACCAGACAAAAGTGATGTGCCCTCCCTCCCGTCGGGTCAGGCAGCCCGGCTCTGCTCCCCGGCGTGGGTCTCTGTTTACAGACACTTGCCTCTGTTTATAACACTTGGAGAGAAGAATCTGCCCCCTTGTTTGCTTTTCCTTGCCTCTTAGTCGCCCAGCTGATGAACTGGAGCTTCTCGCACTCTCAGTTTCTGCTCAAGCAATTTTTATTTTTCTTTATAGCGGCACACGAAAATATTAAAGGGATGAAGGGTGGCTGCGAATGCTGGGGCACATCATGGGTAGCCTCTCTGCAGATACTGTCTTCCCTCGACCGTGTCACTGCGTTGCAATTTCCCCGAGAGATGAACGGCAGGGCCTGCGGGCAGACCCGATATCCAATCTCCGAATCGCCTGTCTGTTATTTCCCCATGAATAATTTTCCGGATTTGTAACGCCAGTTTATCAGAACCAGGAGCCCCTCTGAATCCGCTAAGGAGGATCTCTTTTAATTGCTCGCTAACGAGGATGTTGCTATTTTCTCAGGAGCAGCCATTCCCGCAGCTAAATCACAGGAGCACTAGACAGGCCGGAGCCGACAAAAATGTAGGTTTTGACATTAAAAGCTAAATGGGGAAGGAGAAGGTAAATTGATGGTAGATGGGGATGTCAGTGCCCTGGCCTTAGCTCTCCGCCGGCGGAGCCAGGGTCTGATAACAGCGGAGCACTGCGCTCCACATCCTGCCGGCACCCGGGGGCATCGGCATCCTGTCGACCTGTCCGGTAATTCCTTGAGGCCAAAACTTCTTTGGGAGTTTTTACCGAGGTTAAAGGCACGTAAGAGGAAGGACAGCAGCTTTTCCCAATCTGCAGCATTTCTCTGTGGGTGCAGGAAGTAAGAGATAAGGGAGGGCAGGAGCCCGGTGGAGAGCAGCCGGGTGGCTGAAGCCGTGTATCCTCAGACTGACTCACGGACCCGTCCGTGTTTTAGGCCTGTCACCCCGTTTCATGGCTGGGGGAGCGAGACCCTCTGCTCTCTCTCAAGAGTACGTAGCATTTTAAATTTTCTTCTCCCCTTCAAAAGGAAGAGCAACTAAACTCCTCCGGGTGACGTCCGTCCTCCCCTTCCCTCCCAGGGAGCCCCTCGGTTCCCCGGGATACGGGCCCGGCTGCACGCCCGAAACAGGGCGGTCGCCCCCTTGCAGGGAGGCGAGGACCTTCCCAGCGGCTGCGTGTCCCCTGGGGGCCCCGAGACAGACAGCAGCGTGAGTTTTTAGAGCTCCTCGGGTTTTGGAAAGCAGGGACGCAGCGAGACTCTGTTGGTAGCGAGCCTGTCGGCCGCGGGCAGTCCTGAATTTTGGGGGTCTCTGCAATATGCGGGCACCCCGGCGGGATCTCTTTGCTATCGGATGCGTATGCCATGCCTGCACTCCTGCAAGCAAAAGAGAAAAAAATATGCTGGGGCTTTCTTCCTTCACTTTGCTTTGTGTTGTGGTCTGGGGATTTTTTTYACATGCACTCCCCCTCTCCCCCGTCGTTCCCAGGAGCTCTTCTCTGCCTCAAAAGATTATTATAATACTTATTTCTAGTTTGATATCTTTGTCAAAGAGGTACAACGGGGCCTTTTGGCCAAGCCAAAGACCCCCAGAACAGGCGCCGGGACAGACGCGGGGAAACATGCGGGATATAAACAGGACTAGGGAATGCCGTGAAGACAGCACGAACTTGAAAAGTGGGCAGAGACGTGGGGAGAGAAGGTTAACAATAAAACCTCTAAGCAAAATATCCTCCTTTTGCACTTGGAAACCTAACCTTAATCATCCTTTTTCACACGTACTCTCCTACCGACCCACAAAAATACCCAGAAGAAATCTGCAAGTAGCGATGGGAAGGAAACGCATTCCGCACGCCTACAGACATAATCCCCTCTGCTGTAACGAGGGGCTTATCAATGTTTTATACAATTTTATTTTGGGATTTTTTTTTTTCTGAAGACCATGCAATATGTGCCTTTGCAAAACAGCTCCTATCTTTTTTATTTATAATTGACCAATTACTGTTCAGCTGTTTCAGCTTGTCACATACAATGGAGAATAAAGCAGAGTTGTTATCTGAATTATATATTCACATAAATTCTAGCAAAGCCGGATGATGCGGGGTCCAGCGGATTTCTGAGGTTCTCTGTGCCTGCCTCTTTCCTTTCTAAACCGGCGTGSTGTGTGTCTCCCTTTCCCTCTCCCCAGTCCCATTTTCCTCTAGAAATATCATTGCTTTGATRATGCGATTTTAGAGCATTGATTACAAATTTATTCTCAGACACTATATAAGTCTTTATATCTGCTATTAGAGACATCTGGGAATGATTAGAGCCGTCCCTCCCCCGGCTCTGCTCCCTCTATCTTGCAGTGAGGAGCTAGAGACATGTTGACGTCAGATCAGACGGCTCGGAGCCATCCTGCTCTCCACTTGGGTGCAATCACGGCGACGCTTTCCAAGCCCCGGCCCGGCCGCGGCCGCCAGCTGGGATGCGGGTGCAGTGGGACGCGGCACTTCAGCCCCGGGGCTCCTCGGCACAGCGCAATTTTGAGCCCCGAAGGCTCCATCTCTTCTGAGTGTGCCGCCGAGGCTGTTTGCTTATTTGTCTGTTTGGGACTTTGAGAAAGCAAAAGCTGTGCATTCCGCGGGCGGGGTTATTCCCCCACCCACACCGCTCCCCCCAGCCCCCGGCCCAGCACTTGCTTTATCTCAGCCCCATTTCTCCCGGTGCATTCGCTCACAGCACCGTCTTCCAAAATAAATATCGAGCCAGGCAGATTTCCACCTTATGTCTTGGCAGCGAGAAATTAGCCAAACAAAGTGCAAGGCTTACGTGCGGGCAGTCGCAGGCGCGCCGACACCCGGTTATCCAAAGTGGTAGTCAGGTTTAGAACGAGCCGGGAGAGTTGGAAGGCGGCTGTAAAACAAGACGATTGCCTACCCAAACGGCAGTGCTGCTGGCAAGGAGATGGCTTTGCACCTGCTATTAAATCCTAATGAATCGCCCCTAATTGAGAGCTGGGACTGGCTGAGGGGGACGCTGAGAAGCCAGCGTGGAAGCCTTGGCTCAGCAGGACCCAAGACCACATTTGATTCGCTGATTTTGAGGAACTTTTTCCTTTTCGATTTTTCATGTTTCGTATCACTCTATTTTTTTCTCCCAAGGAGATAAAAATGTAATAATTGAATAAATACAACTTAAGCCTCTGCTGGCTGTTTGCAGTCTTGGACGGCTGACACTTGTCCAGCTGTGCATTACAATCAGGGCTACTACCAGAAAGGAGGGGCGCGGGGGGCGGATGAGAAAGCCGTTGATCTCGTCTCCAGAGGAAAAAGATAATGTTAGACAATTTATCTGACGTATTAAATTCTCGCGGTAAAATACGCTTGCCAGCAGGAGGGAGAAAAGAAAAACAAAGCCCCGTGTGGCCCTAAACATAAATTTAAAAATACTTCAATTTCTTTGTTACAGCAGAATAAAATAAAATAAACCCCCTAAGATACCGCAATGCTCCTCTGTGTCTATCTGTAATCTCGAAAGGAAAAGGAGCATTTCCTTTCTGAATCAGTGCAAACGTTATGCTGTGAGTTCAGCTTCCCCGCCCCCAGCCACCGAGCCGGGGGTCGGGCTGGAGTGAGTGAATTTTTCAAAAAATTGTTAAAGTAAACTCCTAGAAAAATTCTATCTCTGTCCTTTATGGGAGACCTCTGACAGCGGTAACGGCTCTGCAGCAGGGCTGAGGCTGTCGCCCGGGCCCCTCTCCCCTGGGCGTCCCCTGCCCTGAAGCTGGAGCCGTCTCCCCGCCCTAGAGGCCGTGCGAATGCTGGGGGAGAATGGGCTGGGGGCTGCGGGCCTGCCTGGGCAAGGAGCA